CCCACATGAGGGCCAGTGATACTGCGCCCTCTACAGCTAAGATGGTGAACAACAGCTCAACCTGGAGCTGGGCTGCCTTGAGTTGCTGGTGACGGTGTAGGCTGCAGCCCCTGCTGCAATGGGCTGCCATAAGCTACTGTGAGTGGCTGGTAGCCAGCGTGAGTGGCCAGCAGCCGGTGTGAGCTGCCAAGAACCGGAATGAGCAGCTGTCTAGAGGCCAGTGACCGATCTGCCTCAGCCGGGAAGAGCACAATGATAATACCAACATGGGCCAGTGAAGCGACGTCCTCCACAACTAAACTGAAGAACAAAGGACAGCAACTTGTCTGTTCCCCTCCCCCAATTCCCCAATGAAATCTTTAAAAAAAAGACTGTCTGTTTGATAATGGGCTTCACCTGCCTGCAATTAAGACTGAGCTCAGCACCTTGAGCTGAGCTGCCGCCCAGGTGGCTCAGTGGATAGGGCAGCGCTCTTAACAGTGGAGCTGCTGGTTTGACTCCCACATGGGATGGTGGCTGCGCCCACCCACAACTAAGATTGTAACACAGCACCTTGAGCTTAGAGGCCATGAGCTGCCGACAGGCAGCTGGATGGTGGTTGGCGCCCTCCATAACTAAGATGGAAGAAGAACAGCTTGGCTGGTCCCCTTCCCCAATTCCCCAACACTGTTCCCCTCCCCCAATTCCCCATTTAAGAAAAAAATAATAACAAAAACATAAAAATAAATAAATAAATAAATAAATACGAGGCCATAACACAACCCTCGGCCTAATGTCACTGCACGTGTGCGCCCATGGGTCTGCAGGGCCCAGGTGCCTATGCGGGGCATGGCGCTCATGTCTGTATTTGCAGGACGGTGGGGTGGTGGCCTGCAGGTGTGACCACAAGGACTTGCCCTGGCTGCACCTCAGCTGGGCGCTCCCTCACTCAAGGGCGTGTGGCTGCACTGAGGGCCGCAGGTTCGGCAGTCAGGGTCTTGTCAGGAAAACCCGCGGAGGGACTTTAACACCAGAAACCGGCTACCTGGGCGCTGGAAGAGAGAATGGAGCAGGTGGGGCTTCAAGGGAGAGAGATGGGGGGGCGGGGTGCATTCCTGGGGGTCAGGGGCCGCTCCGGGGCCCTGAGCCTGTGCTTCTGGCTGTGACAGCTGCACTGCTACTGGTCCTGGGTGCGCTGACAAGGCGCCGCCTTGAGCAGTGTGGGGATAAGGTCCCAGTGGCCACTGATGCAAACTCGAAGCGGGAAGTGGGTCCTTTCGCCACGTCTTCACTGGCTGTCCCATGGGCAGGGCCGACCGAGAAGCCGTGGCACCAGTTTTTGGGAAGGGAGTTTGCAGTCCCCTGGCTCCTGGGAAGCAGAGCCCAGGCAGTGGGAGAGCAGAGGAGAGCAGAGAGGTGCTGGATGTGCGGCCCAGCGCGGGTAGAACCACTTCTGTCTGGCCACACTGTTGACCTCGGCGTGACTGTGGATGGTCCCATTGGCTCTGGTCCAGCAGGTCAGAGGCCCTGAGGCCACCTGGGTCTGCCCAGTCTGAGCACCCTGCGTCCCCATGCTCCAGTCTCCGTACCCCACCATTCTCATCTCAGATCACCTGTGCTGAGTTGGCCATTCCTTGTTCTGGGACCCTTAGTCAATATCCAGTGAATTTGCCCAAACTGGGCTCTTCTCCAAGATTTGTTTCTGAGAACGGCATGACCATCAAACGCTGTAGCCGGAACCCTCCCAGGCGGCCCCCCTGCAGTCACCGGGATCTCAGAGTCCAAGCTCCTTCATCAGAATACTGTCCCAGAGCAGCCACCTCCCATGACGTCCCCAGAGTTCCACTTTTGGCTCGGTGATCAACTGTCCTGGTTTGCTAGGGACTTTCCTGGTTTCAGCATTAAAAGTCCTGTGTCCCCTCCATCCTGGACAAACAGGAATGGCTGGTCACCTACTGCCAACAGTCCAATTCTCCCCTCAGGACCCCGAGCCACCGAGGCCCCCACGTCTCCGTGCCCCAGCTCAGAGCCTGGCCTGAGGGTGTCTGTCCCATAGCCCCGGAGGCCTCGGACAATCCTGATTTAATGGGATCTATATTCTGGCACCTCCAGGATTGGCATGGATGCTGGGTGGGATGTCAGAAGGCTTATCTGCATGACCACCTGTAATGCGGGTGGGTGGCACTGTTGGCTCTGTCTGGAAAAGGGAGTGTGTGTGTGTGTGTGTGTGTGTGTGTGTGTGTGAGAGAGAGAGAGAGAGAGAGAGAGAGAGAGAGAGAGAGAGAGACAGACAGACAGTGAAACAGAGAAAGAGAGGGGAAGATGGGGGGAAGGGGGAGGGGAAGGGTCGAGAAGTGAGTTTAGCTGTGAAGAGAATCAGCTGGGATTACATCCTGAGGTGACCCAGGTACCTCTAGTATCCAGGACACACCTCGATTCAGCCGTGGCATTCAAGAGGCCAGTTAAAGGACCAGAGAACGCAAATCCTTATTACCATTTGTTCAGGTATTTAAAATCACAGTCATTATGTATGGGACCTTGTTTAGAAATTAGGGCCAGGCACACTTGTGTTCGTCATATCTGACTCATCACATATACACATATTCGTATATGTAATAAAAACAACGGTGCTGGAAATTTTCACGTACAATCAAAAGATACGAGGGTCGGAAGGACCCCCTTGCTCTGAGTCCCCTCAGGACGGCTCAGGGCAGGCTGGTGGCCCTCAGCACACACAGGCTCAGCTGCTGCTTCCGCCTGACCCATTGCTCTCCAGAATATTCTACAGGTCAAGCAGAGGCGTGGAGGAAGGAGCCAGCCGTCCAGGTCTGCATTGGATGAGTCCCAGGAGCTGCTCCAAGCTCTCCTCCCAGCCCCGCCTCAGGGGTCTGTCCTTCAGGACTTGCCCTGTGTGTGTGTGTGACAGCAGGGGCCACACAGCTCACATTCCAAAATAAAGGCGTGTCCGGCCCTCCCCAGGAAGGCCAGAGCGAGTCAGCTGTGCTATGTGGCGCCTGGGGACTTGTCCCAGGCCTTGGTTTTCCCGAGAAGGTCGTGGAGGTCACCCTCTCACCCCTGCTGCATTGGCACACCACATCTGCTTTCATCACGGCCACTGGGTCCTATCGATAGATAGGACAGGCACGGCCAGGTCCTGGCTCAGTCAGCCTTTCCCCAGGGGAGCCCTGTACCCCAGGGGCCCTGGTGGGCGGGGCAGAGGCCCGGGAGCTCCCACAGCCTCTGGGCTCCAGTCAGTGGACATCAGAAGAGGCTGCAGCGTCCGGCTTTGCCAACTGACCCTCCTTGATCTGAAGACGCCAGGCAGCTTCCCCTCAAGCCTTTGCCCAATTCCCTTTAGGGACCAGAAAAAGCTCTGTCTTAGAGAAGGATGCTTTCATCGAAGAAATTGAGCTTTTATTCACGTGTCTGCCAACTGCGTTCTTGCCGAAAGATGTTTCAGACCCCTGTCAGGTTAGCTGGTGGCTCCCAGCAGGTTGTGGCTGAGAGGTGACGGGCTGAAGGAGCCATCAGCAGGGGAAACACTAGGTTAAATGGGTTTCCTGTCCTGGAACATTTGGGGATTTTGCCACACGTCATAGTCTCTGACGGCCTCCTGGACCTTTGGAATGTCCCGGCTGGCTGCCAGCTCCTTGGGCTCATCTGGGAACAGCGACAGGCGGCCCTTGTGGCTTCGGCACCCTCTAGAGGGGTGAGGGCGGATCAGGGCCGCGAATCCCAGCTGCCCCGAGACGAGGGCTTTGGGCGTGAGTGGAAACACGCTGGCAGGGCCCTGAGCACACGCAGGAGACGAGGCCATCCCAGGTCTGGCATGTTCTGGGGCCGCTGTGTTTGGTTCAGCCCCTGGAAACAGCCGGGCACTGCAGCACCGCCGTGTGCTACACGGAGCTGCTTTACAGCGAGCCGTGGCCACCATGTCCTCCGTGTGGTCCTCCTCCAGGCAGCAGGAGCGCAGCTCAAGGATTTGGGAGGCTGCAGAAAACAAAGTCCCCACTCAAGGTAACATAACAAAGGAAGTTTGTTGGGAGCCCTGGGCAGGCGGTCTCACCACCTCCCTGCTCCGCGCCCCCTACTCCTCTCCGGGTGGAGCCGCTGTCTCTCCTCCTGCAGACGGGACTCCTTCAGGGGCCTGGGGAGGGAGGTCCTGCCACAGCACCCTAAGGCCTGTGTGGTGGTCCATCTTAGAGACCCCAGGGGAACAAAGGGAACGACACCCCCTTCTTCCCACATCCAGGGCTGATCCTGGCCGTGCTCCTGGGCGTCCACTCCTGGGCCAGTCCTATTAGCCCTGGGGCGGGTTGTACACAAGACCCTGGAGTCCACGTGGACTGGGTTCTGAGATTGGCAGCTCCCAGAACCACTCAGGGTCGGGCTATGCCTGCGCCCCCAAAGGGACAGGATGCTGCTGGGGTCAGGGGCTGTTAAATGGGGCTGACACACGGGGCTGACAGCAATCAGCCCCAATCCAGGCTCTGCGGCCACATGCCCCGTGCGTTTCAGCAAGTCCTTTCCCGCCTCTGGGTCTGTCACCTCACCTATAAATAGGATCAGAGTGGCCAACGATGGCCCAAATCTGGTCTGTTTCTGTCTGACCCACTGTCTGAGAACGGTTTGAACGTTTTTTGTGGTTTTTTTTTTAAGATTTTTATTGGGGAATTGCGGGGATGGGAACAGTGCTGGGGAATTGGGGGAAGGGGAACAGACAAGTTGCTGTCATTTTGTTCTTCAGTCTAGTTGTGGAGGATGTTGCTTCACTGGCCCAAGTTGGCACCATCATTGCACTCTTCCCGGGCGAGGCAGATCAGTCGCCGGCTTCTGCACGGCCACTCATGGCAGCTGCTGGCCGCTCACGCTGGCTGCTGGCTACACACGGTAGCCCATGGCAACCCACTGCAGCAGGGGCTGCAGCCTACGCCATCGCTGGCGACTCACAGCAGCCCAGCTCCAGGTTGAGCTGTTGTTCAGCATCTTAGCTGTGGAGGGCAGTGTCACTGGCCCTCATATGTGGGATCTGAACCGGGGCCCTCTGGCGTCCCAAGCCAGTTCTTAACCATTGCGCCACTCGGCCGGCCCTGGTTTGAACATTTTTAACTGGCTGGAAAAAGAAGATATGACATGTGGAAATTATGTAAAATTCACATTTCAGGGTCCATAAGTAAAGTTTTATTGACACACGGCCACGACCGCTCATTTATGTGTCGTCTGTGGTAGATGTGAGATACAATGGCAGAGCGAGTGGCTGCAGCACAGGCCGTGTGGCCGTGGAGCCTGAAACAGTTACCCCCGGGCCCCTCTCCAGAAACCGCGCAGGCCCTGGGAGAGGTCGACGCTCCCGCCTTCACCCTCCTCAGCAAGGTTTCAGCCAGGTCCGGGACGTGCTCAGTCCCTTTCATTCTGTCAGCTGGAGACTGAACGGCCAATGAGTCTGTCTTGGCTATAAGCAATAAAGTCCCTCAATCATGGTTTTGAGGCTCTGCATTTTTTCTAAAATGCAAGAAAATTGGTACATGACTTTTAAAAAGCAGACATTACATCCTGCCCCCCACCCAAAGGGTCTTGTGACTTGGTGTTTGAGGTCTCTTCCCACTGGGCCCTGGGCTTCTTTGGCCCTGTGGCCCCCTCCCTGCCTGTGCCAGGTCAGCCACCAGCTTAGCAGGCCTTCAGCCTCATGGGGCCAGGGCAGAGGCTGGCGCCTGAGGACTCGGAAGGAGTCTGCCGACCCTGTGTGCTTCCCGTCAGCGTCTTCCCTAAGTCAGTCCCCAACAGCAAGGAGTCCAAAAGGAGCGAAACCCTCCTGTGTTCTTCATACAGAGAGAAGACAGGCCTCACCCCCTGAGGGTTCCGCTGGTGGGAATGTGAGCAGCTTGGTGCCCAAGTGTGGGGACAGGAAGTCTGCTTCTCTGACGAGTCACTTGTGCACTGGGGACACTGAGAGAAGACTGGGGTATCTGGGGTCATGTGTTTTGTTGGTGTGGGGCTGGCCCTGCCCAGTTGGGGGGACTGGTAGGATTGCGGTCCCAGCCATAGAGGCTGGGCTGGCGATGCCGTGGGCTCCTGGTGGGAGATGGTGGGGGTGGGGGAATCAGGAGATGACCTTCAATGCCCGCGGGAACGTCCAGGCTCGGACCACCAGAGGCCCTTGTCTTGCTCCTCCTGCGTGTCTGTTGTAAGGTCCCACCAAAAACAGACAGAAGGGGCAATGCTGCTGCCAGTCCCTGAGGGGAGGGAGACGTGACCCGGAGAGGAGAAAGCCGTCCAACCCCTCCATGTGGTCTGGGAGCCACTGGACCGTGGGACAAGGAGATCCCATCTCAGGAATGTTCACTCAGTTTCTGTCTTGGCCCAGAGTGCAGAGTGCAGACGTCAGAGCGTCGAGGACAGAGCCAAGTGTCACCGTTGTTCCTGGCGGGGGAACCCCACCCACAGCAGGCCAGGAAGCAGACACTAACAGAGGCCCTGCATCAGGAGCAGATGGGGACCAATGTGCCCCCCCCTTCTGAAACCGTCTGCCTCGGGGTTTGGTTTCACGGATGGAGTGTTCTTCAGCATGGCCTTGGACAAACAGCCTCCCAAGGGCCCCGCGGCAGTGACTGCTCACTCTCTGTCCCTCGCAGTTCCACCTAGGACATTCCCCGGGCCACCCACTCCGCTGTCCTCCAGCCCCATCCCCACTCCACTCCAGGGCAAGGACGGGTGACCGCCTGCCCATCGGAGGAGATAGGGGGACCACATTCTCCCACCGCAGCCTAGGCCAGGGGCTCCTGCAGTCCTCCCTTCCCCAGGTGCCCTGGCTTCCAGAGCGTTCAGACAGGTGGAGGCAGAGGGCGGGGGTGGTTTCCCTCCCCGGAGCCACCCAGCCAGACTTTTCCTTCCACCATTTAGAAAGAACAGCGTTTGCTTTTGAAGGGCACCAGTGTGTACACTGCACTTAAAGGATAACTTCTGATTATTTTCTTAATGGAAGAGCAAATATTTACGTCTTATAAACGAAAGGGCAGGTTGGAACATGTGGGAATACTGACTCTGGGCTCTGCCACGGAGGTTCGACAGGGAGTGGGCAGGAAAACAGAAACTGTTGGCAGCGCGGGGCCTTGCTCAGCTAGAAGGAACAGGAGAAACAGCCCCCCTCTGTCAGGGGGCGCACGGGCGGGCGGCCGGGTCCCTGCCTGCAGAGAGGGGGCATGGGGTTGCTCAGTGCCTCCCGACGGCCTTTCCTGTCTGGAAAACTATTCTCGGGGTGGAAGGGAGGGGGTCCTTATACCTCTGGATGACTTTGCAACACTCTTTCCCCCACTCAGCCCCGACCCCACTTGCACATGTCGGCCACCAGCCCAGCCACGTGGATGGCGTGACCACTGGCCGACTGCCATGGGCTGATGTAGCCTCTGCCAATTGTTTAGGTTATCAAAACAAAACAAAGCAAAAGCCAGCTTCAACCCAGAGAGCAAAAAGGGGATGCAGAAGGGGGGAGGGAGTGGACGCTGCGCCTGCCGAGAACAGCCCCTCTCTAAGGAGCCCCAGGTGCCCGCTGCCCAGGTGGGTTGCTGTGCAGTGAGGCCAGGCTGGCCCCACCTGGGGACTCTGCTCTGGTGGCCTGAGGACACAGGGCTGGCAGGAGTTCCAGTCCAGGGGCCTCCACCTATACTCAGAGAAACACCAGCCAGTATGGGGTCTCCCACGAGGCCCACCTGCCCTCGGTGTGTCTGTCTGCTTGTCCTCTTTCCTAACTCCCACTGCCATCCGCTGTCCGGGGTGTTTCCACCAGTGTCCCCCTCAGCTCTGGGCCTGCACCTCGACCATCCGAACGGAAAAGGGCCCACAGTTGCCTAGGCGTCATTGTCCTCAGCTCCTGTCCTGTTCCACCTGCCTGAACCTGCCAACTGACCCTGAGTGACTGTCTCACTGTCACCCTCTCAGGTGGCCCTTCTCAGGCCCTGGACATCTTGCTCTCCTGCATTCATTGAGCCCTAGGCAGGGGGTCGTGGTCTTGACTGTGCAGTGTGTGTGTATGTTGTGGTGGTGATGGGGGCGGGGCAGAAAGAGAGGAGAGGAGGGTCCTTGCGTTGTGCAGGAAGTGGTCAAAATCCTGAAAAGTGCCCTGTCGATTACAGCAAGTGTTGATCTGCAAATGGAGAGCAGCTGAACCCACCGTGTGTGTATGTGTTTGCACATGTGCATTTGTGTGCACATGAGCCATGTGTGCATGCGTGTACATGTGTGCACGTGTGCTGTGTGTTTGCACACATATGCATTTGTGTGCACATAAGCTATGTGTGCATGTGTGTACACACGTGTGCATGCACATGTGAGTGTATTTGTACACCTATGCATTCATGTGCGCATGAAGTTTGTGTGCACGCACATACACGTGTGCATGTGTGCTGTGTCTATGCACTTGTGTGCATGTGAGTTATGTGTGCATGCATGTGTATGTGTGCACATGTGTTTCAGGAAGAACAGAACACTGGCAGGCTGGCAGGGTGTGCCTATGGGGGCCGGGGTGGCCTTTTCCAGGGCAGTCCTGGTTCCCGAGATGGCTCCTGTCTGGAGGTGCCTGGGAGAGCACTCCCGGTCCTCATGACCACCGTACCCAGCTGCCCCGCCTTCCTCCGACCAGCACATGATGTGTGCCACGTGTCTGTGAGCCGCTCCAATCTGTGAGGATCTGTGAAAGGTGAGACTCCATCAGCCCATTGGAGGCCAAGGGAGGCCCAGCTGCAGCCACTCTGGATGGCTGCTGTTCAAGCCCAGGGTGTAAGGAGACCCAGAGGAAACAGAGCCCGACCCTGCAGGATAGCACACAGCGGCTGCCCTGCCCCCTGCCCCTCCCGCCCTAGGGGGTCCGCCTGGCCTGATCTCCTCCATGCATCCAGTGCCACTCCAGTAAATAGCCATGAGCAGGACGAAGGGCCTCAGGCACCCTCTGGGTGGGGAGATGAGGCAGGCCATGGCCTGGTAGACAAACCTGGGGCTCCACAAGGCGGCTGACTTGCCAGGAACTGCGAGAATGGCTGGCTGTACTTGACCTCCAAGGAGCCCCACACACCACGCTGGCCGCCCTTTAAAGAACAGCTGATTATCTCAAATGCCAGGCCCCACACTGGAGCCCGCTGCTGCCCCCACCCCTCTCCCTGTGGCCCGCAGGGCCACTGGCTCAGCGGCTGAGCGGGTGGCAGCTGCTTGGGGAGCTGGAAGCTTTTGATTTGCGTCAGTGCTGAGCTGGCCAGGAGGGGCCTTCTCGCTGGGCGCCTGGCAGCCACATGAAGCCACAATGACGTCACAGCTCTGGGGCACTGGCCCTACCGGCCCAGGGGGTCTCGGGGGAGAGGCTCTGCACAGTTACCTGTGTGCTGCCTGCTAAGCTGAGCCGTGTCTCTCTGTGAGCTGGGCAGTTCAGGCAACGGGTTTCTGGAAGCAGTTTCCATGATGTCAGCATCCAGGGTCAGGCCGGGAGCAGGGAGCTGGAGCCAGTTGTCTGCCCCCAGGGGGCTCGGGACGCTCCCAGGAGCGGTGACTTGCACCCTGTGTTCACGGGAGGACGCCAGCTGAGGGACTTGGCAGGGACACCGGCCACCATGACAAACCTGCAATTTCACTGAGATGAAAGGATCCTCAGAGCACCCGAGTGAAAAACACAGCTGCTAGAGGAGCGTGGAAACCACACTTGTTTCATGGTATCTTTTCCTTGGTGCTCTGTGGAGGCCCAGCTGTGGGCCGAGCATCCCCGGGTGGACAGAGCCCCGTCCGAGTGGAGCCGTGGAACCCGCTGCTTGTATTTCTCCTTCTGTGACCCTCCCAGCCCTGCCCTCCACACTGACCCTTCCTACTCCGGCCAGAAGCAAGGGTGCGTCACCTCAGGGCCGCGACACTTTACCCTGGCACAGGCCTTCTGAGAAGGTGTCCCGCGGCCCCCCTCAGCCCACTCTGAGCTGAAGCAAGCTGCGGTGTTCTCCTGCCACTCAGCCCAGCCACGCTCCCGGATGCCCCCTGACAGCAGAGACCCCCAACTCCTGGCAGAGACCACCGTTGATAGCCTGAACCCCACCTCCATTTGCTCTTGTCTGCACACACCCTCTGCTCCTCAGCCCGACGCCCCATGCGTGTCAGCGGTGCCTCAGTTTACCTACTCAGAGTGCTTCCTTCCTCCAAGCAGAAGGCCCGTGTAACCTCCTGCCACCACTGGCTCCCCAGCACATGGTGTCCTGCGCCCTCTGCCCTGGGGTGGGAGGTCTTGTCTCCGCAGCCACACCCTGCTGCCTGCAAGTCGGCCCCCTGCGCCGTCGTCACTGTGGAGTGGCGGCTGGAGACACGGCCCCGCGGCCTCACACATCTTGCTCCTGAGGCTCGCTCTTTGCTCTGCAGCTTACTGTACCCTTGTTCACGGTGAGGCTACAAGACTCGGGTCACAGGGGTGCTCGGGGACCCCACCCCACCCAGGCCCATCACAGAAGCAGTTAGGGGACCTTATACCCCAATGAAACATTAAGACTCCTCACACGGGGGTTCACTGGCCTCGGGGTGCCATTGTCCGGGCTTCCCTGGGGCCCAGCACCACAGCCGGAACTCGAGGTCCGGGGCTTCCCTGGTTGCCCCACTGGCACCCTCAGGCCAGGGGGCTGCCTATCCCCGGGCACTGGTGTTTATGCCCCGTGAGGACGGGAGGTGGGGGAGGGAAGCCCCGATTACTGTCTGCCATGTTACTGAAAAACTTGAGGCGGGCGGACGCGTCCCAGACAGGGTTTGAGCTCTGGCTTTGGGGATGGAGGGGCCACGCTCTGCTCCCGCCCTCTGTGCGTCCCTTTTGCGGGCTGCGCATCTGGGCCTTCCCGCTCCACCCCCCGCACCCAACCCGGATTGCTGATGGGGCGCTGCGTCGAGTCACCAGTGTGTCCCTAACTCTGCGCATCCTGGGTGTATCCTGGGTGTTCCTGGGGCGGCAGCCACAAATCGCTACAAATTGGGTGGGTTAAACCCAGACACTCATTCTCTCACTGTTCCGGAGGCCAGAAGTCTGAACTCAAGGTGTCGGCAGGGCTGGTTCCATCTGGGGCTCCAGGGGAGGGTCTGCCCAGGTCTCTGTCCTAGAGTCTGGGGGAGGCCAGCAGCCCTCGGCCTGTACACGAATCACCAGGTCTCTGCGTCCATCTTCACGTGGCCTGCCCCTGTGTGCCTGGGGCTTCCCTCCCGTCAGTGGATCTGGGGTCCGCGCTGACCCAGGACGGCCTTGCCTCCTTCCTGACCTCCATCGGATCTGCAAAGGCCCTTGTTCCGCATCAGGTCACATTCACGGGTCTGGGTTGACACCTTTCAGGGGCCACCATTCAGCCCACTGTACCCGGCTAGCAGGGAGAACTATCCCGTCTTAAATATGAGCTCATCTAACTCCCAACGCGGGGACCAGATCAGGAAACAGGCCAGAGGTCGGAGGCTGGCACAGGCCAAGCTCGGCAGGGGCCGGGCCAGGGCGGCACATGGGCACCTCCCCCCAACACCCCGGTCCCTGTGTGTGACTTCAGGAGGCTCCCCGCCTCTGCTGTCCCCCCAGCTCTGCTGCCTGTGACCTGTGGGAAGGCCTGGCTTACTAAGGGCCAGAGGCTGTCCTGGCCAGCAGGGACATGGGCCTGGAAGCTGACCTCTGAGCCACTTAGTTAGGGCAGAGCCACACCTCAGGATGACAAGGGGGCCTTGCCAGATGCCACACCATCACGGCGACCTGCCCTGGGCCAGCAGGGCTGGCTGAGCGAGGGTCTCCCACTGGTCAGCCACGTGAGGGCAGTGGCCTGAAGGACTTGGAGCAGGGCAGCCTCCCCTCTCCCACTGCAGACCACCTGCCGGGTTGGCGCCCCACTTCTCGAGGGTATAGGCTCCGAATCTGAACAGGCGAGACTGCTTCTGCCTGGCTGATGGTCAAGGCCTCCCGGGAGGGCGGATGTGACCCGGCTGAGAGGGGGTGGGGAGGGCATCTGGCCACAAGCAGTTGCACCCGTGCTAAGCTGCCAGCCCCTGCAATGCAGTGGGTGGGGAGGGCCTTGGCGTCCACGCCCTGGAAACAGTGGGAGGTCGTGCCTGCTGGGCAGGGGGGAGCCCAGGCTGTCTGTGGGAGAGTAGGTGGGGATACTCACCACCGGGGAGACACCAGGATGTGGCTGCCTGGGGGTTCCCCCCCTCCTCCTTGTAAGGCAGTGTGGGGCAGGAGGCCTCCCACCCCAGCCTTGGTGTGGTTGGGCCACCCCTGGGGCTCCGGGTAAGGGGGTGGACAGACACACACTCACCCCCGGGCCTGGGCACCTAGGGAGTGGCTCTCAGCCACAAGGGCTCCCAGGCCCCCCTGGGGGAGGAGGAGAGAGACCGGCGTGGCCTGAGGGATGAGAGAGGACGCGGCAGGTCAGAGTGGGACAGGGGCCTGGGCCTGGGCCTGGGGTGGGGAGGGGGTACCTGACCTACGGTGGGGGGCTGGGGATTGCAGAGGGACAGGGCTCTGGCCCAGCAGGTCTGGGTGTGGAACCCCTGGGCCTGGCCTCCCGGGGCCAAAGCTCATGTTTCAAATCCCCCATGTGGGGTGCACTTAGCAGGCCTCGGGGCTCCTGCCACCCGTGGTTTCCTGTCCCTTGGCCAGGCTCAGCAGAGCTGGGGGCCGGGCCCACAGGTAGCCAGGGCACTGGTGACCAGGCCTTTGCCCAGTGGCAGACGTGATCTTTGCAGTTTGAGGGGGGTTGGAGGAGGCAGGAGTGGGGTAATGACCTCGAGCCCACTTCCTGGCACCTTGGCATGAGGGTGGACCCAGCACTTTCACCTCTCTGATAAGGACACGTAGGTTTACAGCCCTACATGGGCTCCGTGCTTTACCTGTGATCCACTCCTGGCCGTGGTGTTTGTATCCCCCGTCCTGTCCTGTAGGTGAGGGGACTTCGGCCCAGAGGAGTCCTTCCCTTGTCTCCCCATCATGGTCTGGTGTGTCCCCGTGGGCTCCCTGTGCCCCTCCCCCGTCCATGTCCCTGGCTGTGTGAAGGCCTGAGCTCAGCAGGACTCAGCCCCTCTTCCCTTAGGCTCAGGCTCCCCGGGCCCAGGAAGGGCTGGCTGGGTCCTCTCATGGGTCTGTCCTTGCCCTGCTGGTTGGGGTAGTAGACTATGAGCTGGCCCGGCCCCGAAGGTGGGAGGAGGCGGGAGATTTTCAAGGCCACCTCAGTCTGCAGAGGAGGACGTCGGCTCACAGGTCTGGACCTTCCCGGTCCCCCGCCCTGTGTGGGGACCCTGGCTGGCTCTCAGCTGCTCAGTGCCCTTGGGCCATCCTTGATGCCTATTTTGTGGTGTGGACAATGTTGTGGATTCATTGTGTCTCTCAAAGACATGTGTCTACAGCCTCGCCTTGGCACCTGTAGATGTGACCTTATCTGGGAATAGGGTCTTTCAGATGCCACCAAGTTAAGATGAAGTCAGACCGGAGTAGGTTGGGCCCTGAATCCATTGAGAGTGTCCTTATAAGAGAGAAAGACTCAGTCACACGGGAAAGGCCATGAAAGGACAGATGCAGAGATCAGGGTGATGCCTCTACAGACCGAGAAGCCCCAGGAGCTGCCGGGAACACCAGAACCCGAGGAGAGAGGCCTGCGATGGTCCCTCCCCTGGAGCTCTCCGTGGGAGCAGGGTCCTGCCCACGACCTTGATTCCAGACTTCAGGCCTCCAGAGACACGAGGATGAATTTCTGTGGCTTAAGCCACCCAGTGTGTGGTGCTTTGTGTGGCAGCCCAGGACGCTGACACAGCCGGACGGGTCTGAGGAGGCAGCTGCCTCCACGTGGGGCTCGCCTGCTTCCTGGATGGGGTGGGCCTGGCAGGACGTGAGAGGGCACCGACGTGGGTCCAGCTGCAGACTAACTACCAGCCCGGCCCTGCTGGCCCCGACCACTCGCCGCGTCCCTCCACGTCCTCCTCCGCTGCAGAGGGGCCCTCAGCAGGCGCCTTCCCTCTGGGCCTGAGTCCAGCCCTCCGCTCCCGCCGTCCACAGTGACCGCTGTCAGCACTCTGTTCCCTCTCTCTTGCACCTGCCTCCCCAAACTCTTCCCCATCCTGATCTCCGGAAAACGCTCATCTTTGCAGGGTGCCCTGGTGACCAGGAACGGCTGGACATCCTAGGGCTCCTCGCTGGGGGGTCTGTCCAGCCCATGCCTCGTGCACAGCCCGGGCCAGGTTCAATCAATGTCTCCGTTCACCTGTAACCCATTTGGGCTGCACAAGCAGGAAGCTCTGGTTTGCGTCATAAGCCCACGTCTTGGGTCATCTTGGGGGGGACAAGGCTCCCTTCTCCCGGGTCCACGGCCTGTCCCCTCCTCCCCTCCTGATGCCAGCAGCTCAACCCCCACTGCCCACCCCACAGGCTTCCCTGCTCCCTGTTGCCCCAGCAACAAGCTCTAACCCACATGAATGGACAAACCAGTGTCCTGAGCACACGTCCGGGGAAGGAGCCGGCCCTGACCACGGGGATGCTGTCCTGTGCACAGCAGCTGCACTGAGGGCCCTGCATTGCGTTCTCTTGCTTAACCGTCCCAGCCTATCACAAAGGGTATTCATCTCCTCGAGACTCAGGTGGGGAGTCCCAGGCTCAGCCAGGTTGTGACTGCGTCCTGGTCACACACCCCCGAGGGCAGATTCCAGACGACGCCCACGCGGCTGGTTGCTCAGTGTGGGAGTTCCTGTGGCTGCTGTAGTCAACACCCACGAGCTCAGTGGCTTCACACACAGATGTATTCTCTTGCAGTCAGTCTCTGGGGTCAGAGGTCCTACCCGGGTCCTACAGGGCTCATGTCAAGGTATGTGCAGGCTGGTTCCTTCTGGCAGTTCCCTGGTTTTCCCATTTCCTGGAGGCGCCCACACTCCTTCGCTCGTGGCGGCTCCTGCATTCAAAGCAGCAATGGGCAGGTGTGTTTTTCAGGTGTTGCTTCTTTCTGACATTGATGCTTCTCCAGTTAAGGGCCCCTGAGCACTCTGGGTTAGAGAAGCAAGGGATTCTTCCTATTTGAGAGGCAGGGGCTGGGTCACCTGAATTCCCCTTTGCCATTAAGGTAACATATTCAGTTTCTGGGATTAGGATGTGGGCAGCTTTTCCGCCCACCACACTTGGTCGCTCTGTCACTCTGCCCACGCCATCTTGGCTGACCTCTAAGGCCTCATGCACGTGTGTCTGGCCTCGCCAAGGACACAGGCTGCTCACCACACCTTCTCCCCTCCACTCACCTTGTCCACGGCGCCAGGCCCAGGGCGGCCCCAGAGGATCGGATGGCCGAGGCACAGGCTGCCCATTGTGAGTCAGAGGGTGGGTCCCTCGGAGCCTGGCAGGCTTGCTGCTGGCACCCTCCTGCCCTGGTAAACAGGCCTTTGTTTGGGCGGCTGGGCCCCCGCCCTGCCCTCCGCTGGCCAAGACCAGGCAGGCTCCACTGCCTGTTGGCTGGGTGAGTGCACTGTCATCTAGTCGCCCTGACGGTCAGGGCCATGAGCCGTTACGAGCGCCCGATAGATAGCACAATACTTGGATCCGAAGGTTCTGGGGAGAGGTGAGCACAGCTGCAGGCTGGAGACGGCCCACCTCCAGGGAGCATCCCTTGCGAAGCATCGATTGGTGTGGAGGAGAAAGCGAGCAGTGAACGGATTCTGTTTTAAATGAAAACATGAGACGCCAAAGAAATGGTGGCTTTATCATGGGTACGTGGGGCCTCTCCCAGATCTCTGGGAGCAGAGCTCGTGGCTTCTGAGGTGAGGGGTGTGCATAAGGAAAGGGGGAGGCCCCCGCCAATGGAATTCATAGGCCTGGCGGCCAGCAGGTGCAGGGCACGGTGGCTGTTATTGTCACTATCACCAAGAAAAGAGGAAGGATGGAGGGAGACCCTGTGGTGGGGGTCATGGGGTGAGTAAGAGTGAAGGAAGATGCGGTTACACCAAGGGTCGGATCTGGAGCGAAACGAGGACCCGCAGGCCTGGGAAGAGGCCAGGAGCCCAGAGGAAGTGAAACAACGTCTCCACTCCTGGGCCAGACCCCTCCCCGCTCTCCCCCCCACACACACACACACCGGGTGGGCTCTGCACCAGAAACCTCTATCCTGTTCCAGCAGCACCTGTCCAACGGAGCCGGTTTCCACCTTGCCCTGGGAAAGTACCCCCTCCAGGAGCCAGTGGCCCCACTCTGATGAGTCCGGTGTCCCTGAGGCTCAGGAAGGGGGGACCAAAGGAGCCGAGCCCTGAAACCTGATGTGGACACAGCCTGTCCTGCTCTGAAGACCCTCTGGGTGGGCTGGGCACCCTCCTCTGGGCTCCTCCAGGGTCCAGGGGTTGGACAAGGCTGAGGAACGGGCTCGGTGGCCCCGCATGGAGGGCTTGCTGTCTTTGAGAGATCATGAGTTCTGAGTGGAGGCTTTAACATGGGACTCGGGAAGGGGGCAGGGGTGGGGGGGCCAGGCAGGGGAGCTGCTTTGTAAACACAGAGCTGGGCAGGGCAGGGGGCAGCAGAGGTGGCCAGGGAGGGATGGAGGCAAGAGGGGAGGGGCCAGCAGAGACCAAGGGGCTTTAAACCAGAAGACAGAAGAACAGCCGTCCCTGAGCTCAGCCTCAGGCCCCAGGATCAGGCGCTGCAGGAAGCTGTGGTGGGGCTAGCCTTGTACAGGTGCTGCTGGGACTCCCCGCGTGTGCGCACCGTGCCTGGCACACCGCAGACTGACATCTCTCGGAGTCGGGCAGGAAACAAATGGCTCTCTCATGGGGTGAGGGTCCTGAAAAGGCTTGTTAACGAAAAGAGCATTTTCAGGAGTGAAGAAAACAAGCGGAGCTGCTGGGGACTTGCGAGCAGGAGCTGTGACCACTCTGGGCCGGAGGGCAGTGAAGAGAAGTTGTCACCAGAGCGAAGGCCAGGGCCCAGGAAGGGCCCCCTGGCAGGACCCGTGCTCCTGGAGAGACAGGCCAGGCCGCTGCGGGAATGTGGCAGAGCAAGGCTGGTGAAGAACGGCGCCCCTCCCACCTGCCTTCCTCCAGGTAATGCCCCGCCTCTGCCTCCCATTGGCTAAGCCCCAGCTGGAAATCAGAGGGTGAGGGAGCCAGGTGGGTGAAGTCATCCACCTGGTGGGCAGCTTCCTGGAGCACAGTGTAGGCAGGGCAGAGAGGGATGGAGCAAGTAATGTGGGGCAAACAAATATCCAGTCATCACCCCCCAACTAGTAGTGACTAGATGAAGGTGAGAATAATGAGGGTGCTGATGGTGGTGATGGTGAAGTTGGTGATGGTGATGATGGCGGTGGGAGTGGTGGTGATGGTGGTAAGATGATGTCCCCAGTGACAGAGAAGGGGCAAGCCCTTTTCTGGAACTCTCTCGTAGCGTTTTGCTATCTGCTTTCAGGTCAGCATCCTAAGCTCCAATTTTCCTATTGAAACACTGTGTACGTCATCCCCACCCGCCCCACCCCCATCCAAGCTGGCTGCCTGTGGACCAAGAAGGCCACCTGACCACAGGAAATGACCGCTGGCCTAAAGAGTCCTGTCAGCTCTGAACCCAGCACCCAGCCGCTATTCCCGCTGACCATCAATGCTTCTTTGTCCCTCCCTGAACCACTAAGCACAGGTCACACTTCCTGTGGCCAGTGCCCGCAGCTGACCCCTGCGCATCTGGGTTACTTATTTCCCCAGGTCCCAACGGGCTAGTCACAAGAAGTGGCCTCCGGAGACAGGAGCTCTGCCCTTCACCCAGGCCCCTCCCGCCCCCGCCTGTCCAGGTGCCCACCCACCCAGGGGATGTTTACTGCCTTTTCCTGCCCTCCACCCTTCTTGGGTCTCCCTCTCCACCCCCCCTCTTGGTCAATGGGTACATTTTCTGCCGACGGCAGGGGATGTGGGGGCATGGCAATGTGAGACCCAGGAAGGAACGTGCCAGCTGCCGTGCCCACCCCTGCGGCCGTGCGCCCTCTCCCCCCTTCCCTCTGAGGGCCTGGGTGCACACATTCCAAGTCTACACGGCAGAGCCCTTTCTGACCCCACATTCTTTCTGCATGAGTTCAGTTGGTCACTTTTTAAACCAGACTTAAATAAAAACACACACACACAAATACTCATATATATGTGGAACACGCTCATATGCACATACACACAGCACGCTCACACACTCATATAACACTCACAGGCGCACGCACACATGAGCGCGCATGCGCACACACAGACACACACACACATTCACACAGACACACACTCATATAACACATGCACACACACACACACGGTCATATAACACACACACACACGCACGCATGCACAGACACACACACACACACACACACACACACTCAGCAGCCCCTTTTACCACCCTGAGGTCTATGTGCGGCCCCCACTGGAATGTGGAAGGAAAGGGGAAACTCACTTGGTCATTTCTTACTGCATTACAGGACCTCGGCCACAGCAACAGCGTCACTTTTAGGCACAGTCCCCACATGGTGATCGGGGCTTTTGGAGGGGCTTGGAGAGGCAGAGCCCAGCCTTCAGTAGGCATTGGGTGACACACACTACCCCTCACCTAAGGGCTAGTGCCCACCCTCAGGAGTTCCCCACATCCTGACCCTATACCATGAGAATAATCCTCTAAGGGCATCGTGCAGATGCCCCATAAATGTTTGCATGGCGTGGGTCTCCAAATTAAAGATATTTTTCACAACAGCAAACAGTTTCTGTGACTCCTGGATGCCTCCCTCCAGCCCAGCACCATGTCCTGAACTCCAGACTAGTAGGTCTGCTTTCTACACTCGGACACCTGGTAGACCAAGTGACAGCTCTCCCCCGCTCCCAGGGCTACAGCAGCCCTCCGCCCACTTCACCACCTTGCCCTGGTTTCCCTGACACCATTGCCCCCCACCTGTCCTCTACTCGGCAGCCAAGAGAGCCTGGAAAAACACGTGAGAGGTGTGTCTACTCTACTCCAACTGCCTCACCCACGAAAACGTGACTAAAAGTGTGACCCCCCCCCCCGCAGTCCCCATTCTGCCTGCCCTGCGTTTTCATAGCACGTAGCACTTCCTGATCTATACTAATTCGCTTCTCTTTGTGCGGCTTTTCTGACTTTGCACAGGAGGCACAAGCTCCGTGCAGGCACGGGGTTGTCTGTTTTGCTCACGGCCACGCGATGATGAGAAGGACGATGCAGAGCCTCGCCCAGGCCAAGCCCATAGGAGGTGCTTAGTAAATATTTGCTAAGCGAACGCATGCACGAATGCATTTCTATTTCCAGCCCCAGCCAGGCGCCTGGACCCAGAAACAGGCAGGTCTGCCGAGGAGAAGAAAGGCCTGACTTGGAAGTCTGAAGAAGGGTTTCCATTTGAAGTGCTGGCTAAGAAACATTCATTTTCCCCCCTTAAATCTCTCTGTAACCTCCCGCATGCCAGGTTTTATGAGCAGCTGATCTGACAGGCTTGGTTAGGGACTGGTTTCTGAGGTGGGGGTGGAGGGCTGAGGCCCCAGCCTGGGCCTGCAGCTGCTCCATTTCCAAATGCCTGGAATTCTGGAATTGACCAGCTGACGGCTGTCCCCCTTTAAGCTGGCCGCCCGGTGGGGGTGGGGGGCTCCTGAGAGCTGGAGAGCCCTGAGTCCTGGCCCTGGATCCCAGAGGCCGACCTTGTAGGCGTGGTGGCCCCCGAGCGTGCCTCCTCCCTGTGGAGAGACAGCTCGGCCTGGCCACCCTCACTGTCACACGTCTGCTCACTCAGGCCACTCCATGCGTCACGAGGCGAATTTTCCATTAGCGTCACACGCCTGTGGATCCTGACCTGCAGCTGATGGGGGCAGAGGGAGAAGGAGCTGGTTTTAGATAACTTGCATGCCCGGCGGGGTGGGGGTGGGGGTGGTCACACTGGGGCCAGACCCCTGAAGACACCACATTCCCTCTCAGCAAGGGGGGGTGGGAATGGACCTTTGGGGGTAGGCCCTGCACTTGTGCACACCCCTCTGTCATCTGTCTGCCTGTCACACACGTGGACCCCCTCTCCCCATGGAGGCGAGCAGTCCAGCCAGAACGGTACAAGTCAGGAGGAAGTACCGGTTACGCTTTTCCACAACACAAACATTTACGGAGTGCCTACTGTATTCCTAGCACTGTGTGCTGGGGAACCTCCCAGGCCGCAGGGAGTAGGACACGCGGTGGCAGGGGCCTGAGAAGCAGCAACGTTCTTCTAGGAATGATGTCAGAAACCACTCACGGGATGTCAGCTGCTGGTGGCTCTCACCTCCTGAGACACAGCTCTTCTTCATCTGGGAACAAAGCCCCTCTCTGCTTTCCCGCAGTGGGACCCCCTCGCCCACTCTTACCGAGCACAGTGGCTTTTGTTGTTTTGACAGCCTTGCCATCCCCAGGGTAATCACATGATCTGGCTGAGGTCACGTGGCCCAAGGCTAGCGAAGGAGAGGGCTGTCTTTCCCCAGCCACGGAAATCAGTTTGGGAATGCGAACGTGACCTCAGTCCAAACAGAGTCCTGTCCAGCATTTTGCTGGACCCTCCAAATTGAGAGTCTCAAGGATGCCCTAAGCCTAGTGTTTCCAGGTCGTTTGCCTAAGAACAAAGCGAACACAAGAGAAATAAGTTTAGTCTGATTAAGACGGTGCCCAGTGCTGTCTTTTTTGAGCTCCTGGGTCCAGCTGGGCCTGAAGCCGGCACACCCTACACACTCTGGTTCAGTCAACCAGCAAACTCCCTTCTTTTCCGAAACGAGCTCTGTCACCTGCAACCAAAAGGAACCCTGAGCAAAGCAATCCCGTATTGAAATGGGGTTCTCTGGACGTTTACAGGGGAGCAAACTAACAATAGGGTGCTGGTAAGACAAAGTCTTCCTGGGCCGGCCGAGCGGCTCAGTTGGTTAAGAGTTGGCTTAAGAGCATGAGCTCTGAGCAACAGGGCTGCCGGTTCGATTCCCACATGGGCCAGTGACACTGCGCCTGAGCTGAGCTGCCACTGAGCTGCCAACAGGTGGCAGGATGGTTCAGCGGGTGAGAGTACATGGTCCTAACAACAAGACTGCCTGTTCAATGGGGGGCTATGCCCACCCCGCAACTAAGACTGAACTCGGCACCTTGAGCTGAGCTGTCGCCCAGATGGCTCAGTGGATAGAGCGTGCGCTCTTAACAACAAGGCTGCTGGTTCAACTCCCACATGGGATGGTGGCTACGCCCACCCACAACTATAGACTGAACACAGCACCTTGAGCTTGGAGGCCACAAGCTGCTGACGGGCAGCCAGATGGCAACTGGCGCCCTCCACAACGAAGACTGAAGAACAACAACTTGGCTGTTCCCCTCCCCCAATTCCCCAATTTAAAATAAATAAATAAATAAATAAATAAATAAAGCCTTCCTGACCCTTAGTAGTGGAACAAGGGGCCTCAGGATGGGACCGATTCATGCTCAGACGCACCGTGTCCCTGGGCTGCTCTGTGCAGCTGCCCACACAGCCTGGGCTCCCACCAGACAGCTGTGTTTACAGCATCGTGGGCCCGCTTTCCTCCGTGGCTGCCCACCCCCATCACAGAAGTGGGGAGACAGTGTTCTGTGAATGCTGTGGCCGTAGGGCAGGCTCAGTCTGAGGCCCAGGTCCCTCTCCCCGTCCTGCCCCCACATACCACCCCTCCCCGAGGGTCAGCCTGGCAGGGGTGCCCACAGCATATATAGCAGGTCTTGCTGACCTTGGTGGTGACAGACAGAAATCAGGCTTCGGCTGCGAAGAGATGAGCTGCCAGCCACCTCACCACTTCTTCACCTCACCAGAGGTAAACACGTGACTCCTTTGGAGCCTCAGGCCCAGGAGAGGGTGGGAGGACCAGTGCCAGGTCTGCTGCGCCAGCCGTCTGCCCACAGTGCCCGGTGTAGGAGTCCTGCCTTGACGTGGTGTGGGGCCTGTGATGCAAGTGGCACACCCTCCTGCGCTCGGTCACCTCACTGCCTGGGGGAGGTTGCGAGGCAAAGACCTTGGGAGGGCAGTGGCAGGACCTCCCTGAAAAGAAGGGTCTGGCTTCATGGCCGAGAGGGGGGGGGTCACAATGGACACAGTTCGAACAAGACCCCTAAGGGGACTGTTTACATGACAGTATGTCAGCGACTGCCGTCCTGCGCAGTCACAGTGAGCCTGACCACGGGGGCAACGCAGGGGCTTGGGGGCTCCCCTGAATGTCCTGGCCTGACTGTGAAGTGGAGAGGCAGAGGCAGCAAGTCTGTCCTGGTGATCTGAGAGCCAAGCAGAGCGCAGGGAGGCTGCCAGGAGGGTGGGGGGGGGCTCTGAGGAGGGGCTCCCGGGAGGCTTGTGCAACCCTGGGGGTGGGGGCAGCCCTTCAGCAAAGTAGCCCCCTTCCACCCGTGCCTGCAGCCTGGAGGGAGAAAGGGGGGTTCTGGGCAGCACCCTTGCTCTGCCGCTTTCTTCGCCATACCCAGGGCCTCCCTGCAGTCCACCTCCCCCAGCAAAACATCCTTGCAAGGAACTAGAAAGGACAATTATCAAAGAATTAATTACTGAACCTACGGGCGGCAGGGAAACAGCTATTTCCAAACCATGGGTGCCTACTCCCAAGAGTTCCCGTGAAAGTGGTGACAACTTGTGTCAGTCTGTGGGGCGTCACGTGGAGTGGCCCGCACACCCCTTAGATGTACATCCTTGCCTGCCTCCCCCACACCCCACCACCACGCACATCCAGGACATCTGGGATGGACCCAGCCACAAGGGAGCAGATTCCACCTGGGTGGGTAAAGGGCACAGGTGCCCCTCAGGCTGGGTGGGGCGCAGCAGACCCCCGGCGACTGATGGGAGGCAGAGCTGCTGGGTGTCAGCACCTGAGGGGCCCGGGGAATGGCTGGCGGCTGGCGGTGCTTCTTGTCTCACAGGAACTGGAATGTGTATGGCGGTGACCAGGGTGCCGGGTACAAGCTGCTCGCCTCTCTCTGGCTCCTCTGTGAACAGAGATTAGACGGGCTGCTCAGGCAGCTGACACTGACTTTATCCATCCTAATCTGGTGGCTTCCCGTGGACAGACTTGGACAGGTACAGCACCTGTTACCTATCCCGCAGGCCTAGGGCTGACCGACTGGGTGTGTCCAAAGACAGCTGACAAACAGTGTGACAGGTGGGAGCAGGGGGCGACAGTGGACGG